AATCTTCAACTAAATCATCTATTTCATTCTCCTCATCTTCCATATCATTAATATGAGCATTCATATTCATTCTGTTTCTTTAGGCATATAGGTACACTTGTATAGCCAATAATATTATTTTACATTGATTTCAATAAATAAATTAAAGAGCTAAGTTCCTCAATTCTTTCCTTATATGCTCTGATCACATTAGAAATCTTCAACTAAATCATCCATTTCATTCTCCTCATCTTCCATATCATTAATATGAGCATTCATATTCATTCTCTTTCTTTAGGCATATAGCTACACTTGTATAGCCAATAATATTATTTTACGTTGATTTCAATAAATAAATTAATAAAAGTTTAACCGATTTTTTCTTCAACTAAATTCCGTTCGGTTTAATCATTCGTTGGTAGAATTTGGTTCGGTTTGTTCGGTTGAAAAACCTACCAAATCCTCACCCTACTTGACCCGCTGTTGTGCTCTCCAATTGGGAAAGAAAAAACTGAGGCTTAGCGTTCCTCTCAGACGTCGGTCATTGCAGTTATATCTGTATCATCGGCAACTGACGATGGATAGGGTATCTCGGTTCCAGTTCAATCACTAACACGTCTCGTTCAGAACCGCAGGTGGTGGCGGCAGCCGCTGGCTTCTCAGTCCAGGTATTTAAGCCGTCCCGCTCTTTTTCTTTCTGTCTTTCTTTTCTTCTTTCTGTGTCGGGTGATAGTGCTTTTTAATTCCATCGACGAGTTTCTATTTTCTTTGTTATTTCTTGCTGTTGTGTGCTGCTTCAGTTTTTGACAGGGCTTTAATCAGGTTATTAGTTTGGGGTTGATGTGTTAGACTATCAATTTCTGGGTTACTAATAGAAGAAGCAATTTTGTATTTTCCCCTTTATTCCTTAGTTCTTTGTAAGTTATAGTAGAATATCTTTTCTTTGGGATTAGTCTTGACTTTGCAGCCATTTTCAATTAGTCCAAGATAACTGTCTGCATTTTTTTTAAGTTGACTAATTTTATGAATTCGATTAATTAATTTTAAGAATGTATTTCGTTCCCTGTTTGCTATGTTTAATAATATTGATTTGGTGGAAAAGTGTTTAATGACAAATGCCTCACTATTATTTATATTCTCATGTTTCCCAATACATATGTTCCCTATATTTTTGAGAAATGTTGTTTCCAATCTGTTCCATGTTTGTTTATTATCCATTTCCTGTTTCTGGTTCCATGCTGCTTTGACCTTCCTCGCTCTCTTGCATACTTATTGTTCCCTCTGCTTCTTTGAGTGTTCGATCCAAGAGGAATTCATAATCATGTTGGTCTGTGATTTGCTTGCTGATAATCTACTTATGTCGTGTCTAAATTTGTCCAATATTTAATTTTTTTTTTTTTGGGGTTAATCTGGGGTTTCTGAATTGATTCAATTAGATCTCTCATATTTTTTTACAATGCTTTATTTGATCTTTTTTTTTTTTTTCTTTTTTTTTTTTTAATCATGAACTATTGTGTTAGATTTTGGATTCAACATTTGTGTTTACCTGCATAAATTTATATTTTTCAGAGTTAATTTGCTTAAGGCTTTGAAATGAACTTAACAAAAACCCCAATTACTTGATTATACCTCAAAATGTACTTGAGCGAATGTAAAGCGAAAAAGAGTGATATTTCAATGTTAGTGAATTGAGAGAGTTGGAATAAAATTTATCTGTTGTTGATGCTGTATGGGGAGGGACCAAAAAGAAAAAGCCACCATAGGAGAAATTACCTCAACCTGGGTAATTTGATCTCTTTCATATGAAAACTATAACTATTTCGTTAAATTATAAATTTAAGAATGATAAGGAAGAAGTGGAAGTTTGTTTGGTGAGTGGTGTCCAATGCAGTCATTGGCATCAAAACACCGACGTCAAGAATGCCTTAGCCTGTAGTTGGCTGATGAAAGAAGGTTGTACAACTCGAGGTAGGCAATAGAAAGCAGGGAAATAATGTGTATGCAAGCTTAATTGCTATACCTTCTTTTCAAAACTTCGAAGTCCTTTACATCTAAGCAGCTACAGGCTCATAGGCCTTGAATAAACCGTGTTCAACAGATCTAAGCAGCTACAGGCTCATAGGCCTTGAATAAACCGTGTTCAACAGTATGAGATATGACGTGTCCTTGAAATTATTGCGTTTCTACTGAAAGCCACAAATTGGATTCTATCTATATGATTCATGGTATTAATTCCCAAGTTTTTAATATTATATTAAATTAATGGGAAAAATTGGATTTCATTTTGGACATGCTTAAATTAATGTTACTAGTAGGTATTTGTACATTAAACTGCTATAAAATCATGTTAAGTTACTGTTTTATTGTTTTATTCATTTATATTAAATTACTATTCTCCAATAATGGCTTGTCTTTTTGCCCCTCTCCCTGCAACATCAATAATATAACTGAATTTTTATTCTAGTTAACTCTCTCCATTTGATTAACATAAAAATATCACCTGTTTACTTTCAACTCTCATGTTTATTGTATATTATGGTATCAGCAAGCGGTTTAGCCTTTTTTTTTTTTTTTTTTTTTTTGTTTCGAAATCCTGATCTAATTTTAGTTGCGCTTTGCTGATTATTATTTTAAACTTTTCTTAAAAAGTAAATTAGGCAATCTAATTTTGAAATTTGATTTGGCTCATCAAACCATAGGTAACTGTTGGCCTGAAAATGGAAGAGTAGTTGCAATTTCAATTTTTCAAAAGGGGAGCCAGGATAATTGGCTCAGCTTTTTTTGGAAAATTTGGCAAAAAGTAATAACTTTTTCAAACCCCCTTACAAGAGATCTTCCTTATATATAGGGCTTTTTTGTTTATAATCACTCATTACACGGTGTTTGAAGTTGGAAAGAATTACCAACAATTATAAATGATAACGGCTTTCCTGATGAACACTTCAACCCACCTTTTGAAGCATCTGTCTATGACGGTTCTATCTACTGACTCAATTGTTTGAGAATTGTTCTTGGCCGCTTCTTTGCAGCTCATTCAATTGGCCTCAAAGCCTTGGAGTTCTTCAAATGTTTTCCTCCATCCCATTTTACTTCCAGTTCATTTGCTTTTGAAATGACTCTCCACTTTCCTTACGACGGATGCGGCTATTTTGAGAAAACGGCTTGGGGAATTACATGGTGGAAATTGGAAAAAACACACTCTTCCCTGCTCACTCATAAATCCATGAGCAATCATGTTATTTCCAAAAAATCCAATTTTCCCAATCCTATGAAGAATACTCTTGAAGCATTTGAAAAGATGGAGAAAGATGGGGTTTTTGTTGGAAAGACATTTGGTTACTTGAAGAGTTTAATGTGCTCCTTCGAGCATTTTGCACTCAAAGGGCATGGTGAAAAGAGGGCACAGATCAGTATTTCTAAAGATGCCTCTGATTCGTCGTTTATCTATGGCCCAAGACTATGAAGTATCTTTGCTCTTCGGGATTTAAGGACATCAAGGGATATTTACTGCGAATGGAACTGTTTTACATTTTGAAGATTGTTCGAAGAGGCTTTTCAGACCAACACTGCTTTACTTATAATATTCGGATTGATGCTTACTGCAAAAAAGGTTATTTTTGGTTTGATGGTTTGAGAATTTTTTGAAGAAATTGAACAGTTTAATTGCATGCGTATACATTGGAAACGATGGAACTACTTGATTCATGAGCAGGGGTTTTCTCGAAAAGCATAATTAAGGCCAGCAGTTATTTAATTAAATTTGCAGGAGAAAATTGCATCCTGTTTACTGGAGCTTATAATGCTTTGGATTAAGTTACACTTCATTAGATCGTAGGAGAATGGAAGTCTGCTATGAGGTTTGATGATGAAATGGAAGAGAAGTGTATTGGGGCATGATAGTGTGACTACCTCCATACAATTTTTCTTAGGCATTGACTGAAGCGGAATACAGTGAGGGTGTCTGCGAGCTTTATGGAAAAGATGATTGAAAGGAATTTCTGTCCCTAAAACACGGGACTGTGATTATTGTTGATGAAAAATTTTTCTGTGTGAATTTCTGTGTGAATAGTCGGATTGATTTGGGTTTGGGTTTTTGGCAATACTTGTTGGAAAAGGGATATTGTCCTCATGGTCATGCATTGGATCTATTGGTGACAGGATTGTGCTCCCGGGGGAGGTCACAAGAAGCTTTTGAATGCTCAAAGCAATATTTGGAGACAGGAATGCGTTTGAGTGAAGCAGTATATCGGATGTTGGAGAGGGTTTTACTGAAATCTAACAAGGCAGACAAGTTGGGGGAGCTCAATCAAATGATAGAAAAATTACAATCGGTTTTGCCTCCATCAAAAGGGCATGCGTTTGCTTATTCTTGCTCCACTGCTGTAGAGTAATGTTTTTATTTCTTAGACACTTCTCTTATATATAATTGCATCTGAGATGAATTAATACAAGGCGTTTCTGAATATTCTTTCTCCACTCCTTTACTGGGTGTAGAACTTTCAGGCTCTCATTGTTGTATGAAAATCTTACATAGGGATGTATGACCAAAAAAAGGTTGAATTTCCCATTGGTGTGGCAGTTGATGTTTTACAACCCATCAATGTATAATCAAAGCTGAACTTAAGAGTTATTTAGGTCAGAATTTGACAACTGACGTGCTGAGTATTTTGCCACACCACATGGACACTAAAGACTCTTGTGAAAGCAGTCTAAAGACTCTTTTGTGAAAGCAGTGAAGAAAGTTGGAGCAAGTTCAACTGTAACCAATTTGGATTTTGGAAGGAAAATCTTCTGGTCGAATGAGTGTGGAAAAGGATAAATTAACAGCTCTTTATCCTTTGGAGTATTCTTGAAAGGATTAAAGTCTTTTACAACTATCATATTTGCTTGATCATAGAAGAGGTGAGATATGTTTTGCGTTTTTGATTAATGCAATATAATCTTGTGGGAGTGTGAGGGACTGCCTTTTAGCTATATCACACTTTCATGGAAGCCATTTATAATATTCATTTTGACTGCAATGCTCATATGAAGATCAGTGGATGGCGAATTCACAGATGGAGAACAGCCTTCTTCCATTAGGTAAGGTGCCTTTTATTATTTTGTTACCGCATGAATTAGGTAGGTGCCTTTATATTTTGTTACCGCATGAAAAAGCTGATGTGACCAGGTGAATTTTTTTCTATCTAATGATTGCTATTTCCAGGGTCAGTGATGAAAATCCATGGTCTAAATGAATGCATTACAGTCTCTTTGCTGAAGCATATGGCACTGAAGCACCTCTCGGCAACATTTCCAAAATTGTGTACTGAGATTCTTGCAGTTGCATCGGATAGCAAGCGCAACATAGATGTCAAAGCACAATCTGTTCAGCAGGTACTGATCCTATGCCCATTTGTGAATCCTGCACTTTTTAGGAAAAAAGGATTTTGAACTGCAACCATTGATAAGCAACTCCAAAAGAAGCTTGTTTATAATATTCAGAAGCATGGACTAGCCAAGGCCAGAGTAACTGCCACCAAGGCCATTGACACTGCAAAAAGTTACGGATCTTTCTCCTGGTGATTCTAAGACTGCAAGCAGAACGCAAGCACAATATAATTCACTGAAAGGGTGCATAATGAGCTTGGTCCGAACTCAAAGAAGCGAACATTGGAATTTAGAACAATGACAACACCACTTGGATAATGAGCTTGGTCCGAACTCAAAGAAGCGAACATTGGAATTTAGAACAATGACAACACCACTTGGTTTCATCAAGCCAGGGATGGTTGGATGCATTGGATCACCGTTTCACACGAAATGATCGACCTTGAATGTATTTGGAATTATTAAGAAGACAGTATTTTAATTGTGGTGATGAGAATTTATTTCTGTAATCTATTTTCTGATTCAGCAATAGTAATTTTGCTATCAACAAAAAAAGGGGATCAGAACTAAGTTAACATGATTGTATGGTTACAGTTATGCATTCCTTTTTTCCCCGTTTTTCCGGAATAATTCAAGTTGTATAAATTTAGATAACAAAGCCAGAACAGAACAACAAAATAACCAAATTGAACCGATTCGGTTAGTTCGGCTCTGTTTAATTATTTTGGGCTGTGAAAAAAAGTTAGTTCAGGCACCAATGAAACTGAAACTGATGTCGATTGTCTCTGTTAAAAACCAAATTGAAACTGAACCGTTGAAAACTGAACTCGTCTGTTTCCGGCCAATGCTCGCACTTAGATTTATTGATTTAGGTACCTATGCTTGGAGGATCAACGAACTTTTTTAACCTAGTTCAACTCATCAAATACATGAATTCACGTTTTATAAACGGGTTAGATTGTTAGAAATGAGTTAGGTTGAGTGTACAATTCACAAGTTATCACAAATAAAATAAAAAATTTTAAACAAACAAATTAACCTTGCAATGGCCATTTGAAGGGATAAAAACCAACTAAATATCATGCATTTTGTTTCTCTTTTACAAATTAATCTAATTTTACTATTATTATCATTCATCATTATTATTTTGATATAATAAAAAAATTATTCATCATTATTATTATTGATATATAAAAATTATATAAATATATTTATTATTATTTTCGGTTTGAGTCAATCTAATGGTTTATTTAGGGAGCCAATAATCTGCCTAACTCGTAAATTTTAAAAATAATTGACTCAATTCAAAAAATATATGTTTCCAAACTATGGGGTTGGGTTCGATAGAGGCGGGATGTTCCTCATTATACCGAATTTCAGGCAACTGTTACCTGCAAAATGACGAAGCATATTTTTATGCATTAAGTTTATAATTTGACCTGTCAAAAGGAGTGCTTTACCCTGATAAAAATTATGTAATGTCATATCATAGACATTTTTATTTTTGAAAACCAAATTTATAATCTCAAAGGGAATACATGCAATGATGATACTATCTTTGACAAATCAATAAAAAAGACAATTAAATACACTTGGAAATTAATTAAGGCCTTAATGGTTTTAAAAAAAATATTATATTAATTATACCCAAATTAACAACATAAGAAAAAATATATTTGACTTTATTAAATTGAAAAAAAGAGTAAAAGCAAAATAAGATTGAAAGCAAAATAAGGTGAAGTGAAAGAAAGAGTAAAAAGCAGAAGTAGTGCAGTCAACCTCAAACTAAAAACTAGTGTTAGAATACTAAAGAGAAAACAGAGAAGTAAGAGAGAATAGGGTTGCGTGTGGTTAAGTTTTTTTACCTTTGAACTTGAACCGGAAAAGTTGCTGTCTTGTAAGTTGTAATCTTTATCTTTGAACTAGATTTATAAGATCTCTTATCCTGCTAGTATATAATATGTATCAACCTTGAAAGATCAATAGAGCACATTGATTGCATATTGAAAAATGGCCAGCCTACATGAAGTTGAAGCTAGAAAATTAAGAGACTTTCATGGGCAGAGTTTGTTTAATTCAACAGAGACAGCCGGAAAGATCATTACTTGCAAAGGTAAGGTGTACATCATCATTTTCATGTTTAGAATTGATCCATCATATATGGTTATATTATCAATTTCTGTTCAAACATGGTGAAGCTGCGGTGGTGAGAGGCCCGCAACAACCCTTTCTTCTTGAAAAGATTCAAGTTGATCCTCCTCAAAAAATGGAGGTCCGAATCAAGATCCTCTATACTTCAATATGTCATACTGATCTTAGCGCTTGGAAAGGCGAGGTAATTATTATAATTGGTTCTTAATTAACGCGTGTGTGTATATATCTACAAAATGATTAATTTTTTTGAACAGCAAAACATATTTGAATTTTTTATTAAGAAAAAGAAGATAACAAGAACTACAAAATGATTAATTTAATTTCTATTTTTTCAAAGAACGAAGCTCAACGAGCATTTCCACGAATCTTAGGCCATGAAGCAGTCGGGTAAGTCATACATTTTAGTATACCCTTTTGAATTAATGTTTTTCTATATAAAAATATAGACAAATAAAGGGTGCATGCAGAATGGTTGAGAGCGTGGGAGAAGGTGTGAGAGACATGAAAGAAGGAGATTATGTGATTCCGATCTTCAATGGAGAATGTGGACATTGCGAATACTGTAAAAATGAAATGACAAATCTGTGTAAAAAGTTCAGGGTTAACCCGTACAAAAGCGTAATGGAAAATGATGGAAAATGTAGGTTTTCCACGAAAGAAGGAGAACCCATTTTTCATTTTCTCAACACCTCCACTTTTACTGAATACTCGGTGCTTGACTCTGCTTGTCTTGTCAAGATTGATCCAAATTCTCCACTCAAGAAGATAAGCTTGTTAAGTTGTGGCGTATCCACAGGTAAATATTTAACGAAGTAACATGAATATGCAAATGTAGGCTCAACTGACAACTAACTATCGATGAAAATTAAGGGGTGGGAGCTGCGTGGAATGCTGCCAACATACAAGCTGGATCAACTGTTGCAATTTTTGGTTTGGGTGCTTTGGGACTTGCAGTATGTTCCATTTAATTATTTTTTTGAAATTTGTATTCAACTTGTTGATCACAATCAACAAAGATTGCAGAGAAGAAGAAAGAAAATTTTAACAAACAAACCCAAGTTCATGTGACTACTGAAACTAGGTTGCAGAAGGAGCTCGAGCTAGAGGAGCATCACAAATCATAGGCGTTGATGTCAATCCAGAAAAATTCACCAGAGGTATTTTACTCTGTTTCTATTAATTTCAACATCTAGCAAGTATGTGAACAACCAATTTTTTTACAGGTAAAGCAATTGGAATGACAAAATTTGTAAACCCAAAGGATGAATCAAAGCCAGTTAATTAGGGTCATCAATCATTAATCAGTTTACTTAATTAGTGACTAATCACATATTATTAATAATCAGAGAAATTAATTATGTTACAGATAATTAGAGAAATGACAGATGGAGGTGTAGATTACAGCTTTGAATGTACTGGAAATTTAGAGGTTCTTCGAGAAGCTTTCTTGTCCACTCACGATGTAACTTGGAAACTCTACGATCTTCCTTTTAATTCAACAAATGTTAATGATTATGAAGAATTTTTTTTTTTTTAATTTTTTTATGACAAAAATGACAGGGATGGGGAAAGACAGTGTTGGTAGGAATTTATCCAAGTCCGAAAATGTTACCTCTCCATCCAATGGAGTTGTTTGATGGCCGGAGCATGGTCGGAACAGTGTTCGGGAACTTCAAAGGGAAGAGCCAATTGCCTCAACTTGCTAGAGAATGCATGAGAGGGGTCGTAAATCTTGATGGTTTTATAACACATGAACTTCCTTTTGAAAAGATTAATGAAGCTTTTGGGTTGCTCAGGGATGGCAAGGCTTTGAGATGTCTTCTATACCTTTGATTATTTTTCTTTCCATTTTAATTATCGGTTGTTGCTACAATCATCTTGGATTTATTTTTCATTTCTGTTTTATATGCTCTATTTTTTTTTTTAAGACTACAAGTATATAATATTTCTTGCAAATATATTTTTTTTATCAACAAAATAAATTTATTTTACTAGAAATACCGGGAAAAGTTATCAAACTCCCCAATAGACTTGCCAAGTTGCAATTATGCATGAATCTTTTATTTCAAATTTTATTGCCCGATGACCTACGGGTTGTGGCTCAGATGACTTACAGACTATGATTCAGTTGGTAATGCAGGCTGAGCACATGGGAAGAACTCTCAGGTTCGATATTAGATACACATACAGAGAGGGACGAATAGCCTTAATTGTGACTAAGCCTCGAGTCGGATTAGGAAGTCCCTGATAATATGGTCCGGATACTGGTGGTTTATACAAAATAAATCTAATTGTCGGATGGATTAGCATATAATAATTAATTAAATGCAAATTTAAAGAACTGTATTTCAAAGAGCCTCATGTTATCCCTTAAAATTTATTATTCTCACATGAGTTTTTTTTTTTTTTTAATATTTATTTTTGTTGGTATTCCCATCGTCTTATGTATGACTTGACAGTAGCTAATATTACATTCTTGAAGCAGAAGTAGCCAACCTCATTGATCAATGATTATACGGCTTATTTTATAGTACTTAAAACATAACT